ATATATTTAATATTCACACTTATATTTCACTTATATTTCACTCTTTAATATATATTTAAATGTAAAATATTGACTTTGAGAAGAAAAAATAGACATTAATAGCTGTTTACGGTTTCTTTGTGAATTGTAAGTAAGCGCACATGTGTAAGAAAAAAAAACATTTTCAATTTAAGTTTTTCTCTAAATTAATACGTTTTGTGTAATCCTGATATCAGAAAAATTATATGTTAAAGGACAAAGGATTTTCATGTTTTATCATAAACTTTGAAAATTGATGATATGATAGCGACGATGAGTGGAGGAATGAAACGCACGATGATTCTTTGACGATCTTCTTCGATATTATGGTTCGATATTATGGCAACTATACATCTGAAGACGTACTTATTTCTATCATAGGCTTAGACAAACACATGCACATATACACATTCTTGATCGCATTTATACATATACATACATATTACGCGTGTGTGGTCAATCCCGACCTAACTGTGTATGCAGGACTGCGGTGGCAGGTGACGGCGTGTTGTGAGCTGCATAATGAATAATGCGAAAGCCGAACCACAAGCCGTTCCTGTCCTTCCACTTGGCTGACTGAATGACAGCCAGTCTAGGAAAAACCACTGATTGGCTGTACATACCCCCGGCTCTCGTGCTTGTCACATCCTGTGTGTGTCTACTTGCGATCGAAATCAAGCTGCACGACGAGACTTGATTTTCGTATTTCTGGGACACGCTATCGGCGAATTCACGAGGGATTTTGCGAAGCGTCGCCGGCGCTTGTAAGGAGACGATGGCGTCAAAAATAACATTGGCGCTTTTCTGAAACACCAAAATTTCATTACATTTATTATCTCGAGGACCAAAAGAGAGATTAAAAGTTATTTTGATTGTTGCATTTCACTGCAATCTCTTGTCGTGGAATGTTTAATTTTTCTTAAAAAGAAACTGGATACATTAAATTTTTGAAACAACTTTTGTTGCATTATTGATGCAATTAAGAGATGATTTTATATGAAAAAGTAAATGAAAATTATATAACGATTGTAAGTGAGAGATTAATTGTTAAGTTAATCTATTTTTTTACTTTGAAACATAACAAATCTAATAAATAATATAAATCTCTTTCAAATGCCAACAATTACGTCATTTTTAATATTCGTCGTCATCTCTTTTTTCTTATAAGCGTCAGCATTTTACAAAATTTATTGTCAAATTGTCGATTGCAACTTCAGAAATATGAAAATCCAATTTGGTCATGCATCTTGATTTTGATCATAGTTAGATCTAGTCAAGTATCTTTCCTTTTCTTTTTATAAAACTTTCAAACAATACATTTATAAATTAATTTCAAAAATTAATAATACATTTTATTCTTTTTTGTGTATATCAGATATATTAGAAAATTATTTATTTTAACTACTAAAGTTATTCGAATAAAGTTGTTGCATTAACTTTATTTGTGCTCAAAATATTTAAAAGATACATCCTCCTCTCTCCACACACACACGCATACACGCATCTTGTTTATATATTGAAAATATTTTGCATTAAAAATTAATGTATAGAATAGTTTTTAATGATAATTTTAGGCCGACTTAAGAGGGTATGAAAGTGCTAGGATTTTACGAGCTGATCCCACTCGATTTGGTACTCGAAGCACATTTCTAATGGGAACGGGCAGTAGGTTGACTACCCTTTGATTACATTTAAAGTAGTTTTTAATACTCAGCACTTAATCGAGATTGTGAAAGACATTTGATGCGTTAGCATTTTTCACGATCTTATTAATCTTCGAGATTTTGCACCATACTTTATTATTAAATATTTATTTCTATTAGTCGAGAAAAATATTGTGGTTTCAACTTTTCAATTATGTTACAATGTAATATTTAATAGAAAATAACTGTATCGAAAAAAAAAGTTCAGAGAAATATCATAATCTTTTAGATAAATCAATGTTATGTCATAAATTACATAAATCGCATTTGATTTTGCAAAGAAATTAGGAGCAATAAAAAAGATTTTATATAGATACATAATTTTAAATATATTTTAATCAATGTACAACATCGATGTTGTTAAAAAATCAAATATTAAAGCAAGAAAGAAACTTGCCGGTTACGAACTAAAAAAATTGATACATTTAAGACTAACAAACTAGATATGTAAATGAAAGAACGAAAGAAATGTTATTATTCTAAAGGCAGTAGAGAAAGGAAAAAAGAAGCCATTAAATATTTACGACATGAATTTAGTCAATATTTCTATCTCGTTTCATTTGCTAATTATTGTAAAGTAAGATCAATAATGATTCCACAAAGTTAAATGCAATTTTCGATATCTATCTGATCTCTCCGTACAATACAGATAAAAGTGCTTTTCCAAAAAGCTCTTTCTCTCTCTCTCTCTCTCTCTCTCTCTCTCTCTCTCTCTCTCCTCTCTCTCTCTCGCGTAGAATTCTTCTTTCGGATCTGCATGCCATCGTGCTTTCCGTTTCCTAGAACACTCCTTGCACGCAAATTGGGGTCAACGTGAATACTTAATGCGAAACTGTGGTCGAGCAGGAGTCAAGGTGCAGTGATGGGAGGCAGAGAGGAAAAGGCCGTTTGCCGTTCGCCCGGCGTGCCAACTTAGTTAGGCTGTCTAATCAAACGACTTCACACGTTACATCAGCGATGATGCATGCAAAACGGTTTCTCTCGTTTACAAGAATTATTTAAAATCATTGATTTTGCACGATTACGAAGTATTTTGTAATTATTTTCGACCTTTGCGTTCTAAAATCACGCGTTTAACATTTGTAATCTTTTTATATAATTACCAAACTGTGATCACCTTTTAGCGAATAGAGCCATGGCATAACGGTAAGACAAATCGTATTACGTTACTATATATATTACATTATAATATGAAAAATAAATCGATTATATTTATATTTATATATTATTTTGTCGGTTTTGATATCAGATTGTTTTCTTAATGAAAATGTATATATGAAATCGTTATTCGTTATAATATTTCAAGGTTTTACTTTAGGTATTCTTGTAAAAGTTTTGCAGAAAGACATTGACAAAATATAGCCAGACTTAGTTAACTTAAATGAAACAAATTTGGACAGTTCTAAAATATATTATACGCAGATCCGTTGGAGTTCATCCTACGTATATCATATATGGGAAATGCGGTTTTGAAACAGAATATCAAGAAAGATGGAATTACTCACATAGTATTATATACTCGTGAATAATTTATTTCAAAGAAGATAAAGCTTCTTTTTTAGTTTAGTCAACGTCTTTATCGAATTATAAATAAGCCAACTTATCTTTTGCCAGACCATATAATATTATGAGGTCTTTATTAATTTATATTAGGATAGCGAATATGGAAATAGATGTACTTCGCGTTCTAGCCTTCCACGAAGATTTCGTTGCAACATTCTCGTTATATTAAAAATGTAACATCTTTCTTCGTAACTTTTATTTTTCTCAGTTCTAACCACATCATCCCGAAATTCGAAATACTAAATTAACAAACTGTTTTTAAAAATTCAGTTTTCATGTAACGAATGTTTTCCAAGTAGACAAGTTTTATAATATAACGAACGAAAGTAATAAATTACAAATTCTTTTCATTCAATATTCTTTTATTGAATTTATGTACATTTCACATTTTGGTTTGACATTTGCGTAAGAAAAGAAGTTTTAGTCTCGACATTCTAAAAAGTTATCCAATTAAAAATATAATTACATTTATAATTCGTGTAAATTAGATGACGTTGAAAGTAAAAGAATTTTCACAGAGTATGCTAAGAAGATAAATCTCTCTCTCTCTCTCTTTATAATACTCTCTCTCTCTCTCTTCTCTCTCTCTCTCTCTCTCTCTCTCTCTCTCAATTTTGAAAATAGTTATTTCAACATATGTTCAAGTTCAAATGTTTAATATCATTTTTCATCTAAGCAGTTTCCGAGATCAGAGCAATTATTGAAAAAAAAAATGTTGCGTTACAGCGGTAGTAGAACGACGGTTATTGCGAAACGACGCATTGTCAGTATAATCGTAAAGGAAAGATGACGCTTATCCTCTAATACAACATTCCGGCCATCCTCGCTATCGTGGTCACTGCAGTCGCATTAGTTAGGACTAACAACGCTGGCGGACAATCAAAAGCTGATGGGCCATGATTCGCTATGATAATGAACCATGAATATCGCATGAGGCGAGCGAGCTGGGGACGCCAACTCCTCGCTTCGCTCGCTAGGCTCCATACCCGTAGCCAATGGTCGGGGTTAAAGGGAACTGAGGTGGGAATATGAAGGGATGGGCAGAGAGTCGAGGCCATCGATGCGCGGTAATGCCTCTGTTGACGCTCGGATTAAAGTCCTTTTCGACACACGCAGAATGTCACTTCCTGTGCGCGCCGTCAAAGTATCATTACCAATAATTTCCCGCGTAAAAATAAAAATCTGTTTGACTCGCGTCTCATCGCGACACTTATGATTGCGAAAAGGATTACTAAATTGCAGCTCGGTTATCGATGGAAAAATTGAGAACAGAAGAGTCGTCGTTCGATTAGTCAACGAAATATATTATTGTATAACGTACATGTCTGTAAAAAGATATTTTTTAAAATACTTGGGTTACACTAATTTATAATATATATATATATACGCGCGGCATCCTAATTATTTTGAGTACCGCGGATATATCACTCTGTTCCAATCGCGAGATATACCTGCAAGCTCTTTGAGACCACAAATCCAAGGGACAAACGTTTCTGATTTACGACATCGAGCCTCGGCTTCCGCTCGTTTCATTATTGATCGTTCGTTTATGTTCACCCCGATGCCGGACAAGTTCGAGATATACTTGCGGCCACAAACGGACGAAAAATTGAAGACCGCGCGCGAAAGGAGGGCGAACGTTAAATAAAATAGCGCGTGGCCACGAAAGAAGAAGTAAAGGAGAAGAAAAATAAGGGTCAGGAAAGGACCTGTAGGGCGCGAGCGAGAGAAAATGAAGGAGAGAGCAGGCGAGAGGAAAAAAAGACGGGAATACGTTTACACGCGCATGTTTTTACGGAGTTAGCCACGTGGGCATAAATACGTATCTATTTATGAAAAAGAAACAGAGGAAGGGAGAGAGAAATGCTGCAGCATGGAAATGACATCCGAAAAGAACCATGCAGCATACGGTAAACAGTTAAAACTTGACCGACTGTCAAAATCAAGCAAGTATCTGATGACAAAGTATTTGACGATGCGTGTTTGACCGAATTATCATTACGTTGACGTATGTAAGATGATCATTAATGTCTAAAATCATTGATTATTGAAACAAAAATCAGCATCTTATTAATGCAATCTAGTATCGCGCAGTCAAACTTAATTTATTTGACTTTGTGTATTAAAATGATTTATTTATAAATGATTCTTTTGAAGTATACAATTTACTTTTTGTACTTAAAGATATAAAAAGTTTAGAAATACATATTTGTAAAGAATTACATATTAATATACTTATTAATATACTTATTTTATAAAGATTTTTGCTCTTGCATTTTGTTATATTAACGTGTTGACTGCCATAATGGATATCGTTACTTGCTACGATATTCAATGTTATTAAGCCGTCGATTGCCGCGTCAAAATTGCTATGTATTACAACGTGTCATTAATTTACTATCCCGTAAATGTCAATCAGTTATTTTTAAATGTCATTTACTTTTTGATAATTGTTTCTTTATTTGACAATATATACAAAAAAAAATTAATATATAATTAAAGTTTTCGTGTGATTGTAATATTACAAAATTTTAATGTACAAAAATTGGACTACGATATATGGCATTATTCTGATAATCTCTCTTCAATTGATTGATCTTTTAAATAATTATATTAACAGGTATTAAAATTATTTCTACTTGATAAAGAGAGAGAGAGAGAGAGAGAGAGAGAGAGAGAGAGAGAGAGAGAGAGAGGAGGAGGAGGAGGAGGAGAGAGTAGTAGT